TATTGGGAATAGTGCATCAAACAAATTTTCAAATTTAGAACTCCGTCCTTCCTTTAATTTGTGTGCCAGAGTTGGTAAAAGAAAAATTACATCCTGTCAAAAACTCAATATTTTAGGATGATGCGCTAATTTGTGCATGCTTTAATGTCCCGTTATTTGATCCATGATTTACAATCTTCAATAACATTAAGTTTGCTAATGCGTGTTTTCGCGTGTTTTTTGTATTTTTCAAGTTTAAAAAAGGATGAAAGTACGCAAGTTTGTGTTCGCTTGTTCTACTCTTTACACATTCAACAATGGATGAGAAATCATTGGAAGGGACAGCGAACAGTTGCAGTGATACCATTTTCTGATGTAGGAATTCTAACTCCTGAAATTTCATGCGCTCTTTTATCTCACCACCTGGTCAACAGTTGCAGATTAGCGCATAACTTTTCGGCGGCTTGGAGCATGGGGTCAAAGGAGAGCGGCTTGATTCCAGTCCTTCTCTACCACGTCCCTGGTTAGACACGCACGCTGTTACAGCGCTGTTAGTGGATTTGAGCCATAGAGTTAGTTTAAATCTATGATTTGTGCGTAGATGTGACGTCATTTCGGCGATTTGCGCATGCGTCGTGTCGTCTGGCGTCGTCTGGCCAAATTTACGAACCCGTTTATCGATGATTTGGGGTTCGTCAGTAAACTAGTGACCCGTCGTCATAATCAGGCGCGGATCCAGGATATTTCAATAGGGGTGGAGGGGCCGAAAATTTGAAAATTGCGCATACCGTTTTTTTCAACTCAACATAACAATACTGACGAGGTCACATTAGAAGCAACATACCGGTACAATTTTTTTGACATTTTCATCGAGGGGGGGGGGGGGGGCTATAGCCTCTTGCCCGAAAAGTTATTTTCTGGTTTCACAACTCGGCTCGTAAGCGAAGCGATCGAGCAAAATTTTGAGCATATGTATTCTGTGAAAGCGTTATTTATTACCAAAAAAATACGAGAAAATATATCGAAAATTCATATTCGGGTAGCTCGCTGTCCCCCCCCCACCCCCCCCCCCCCCCCCATTACGCGCGAAGCGCAGAAGCTTTGATGTTTCATGAAATTATTAGAGAAAGAAGAGGATTCGTTGTACCATTCTCGACTCTTACTCCTTGTTTGAATTCAGTCCCCCCCCCCCCCTCCCGCGCAAAGCGCGGAAACTTTAACCTTTCATAATTTAATGAAATCCTTAGAGAAAGAAGACGTTCCGTTGTACCGTTCCCAACTCTTAATCCTTGTTTATAAGCAGTTTCCCCTCTCCCGCGCAAAGCGCGTGGAAGCTTTGACATTTTATTTAATTATTAGAGAAAGAAGACGGTTCGTTGTACCGTTCTCGACTTGTCAGAATTTTCAAAAATGTTTCCTTGTCTGCTCCTTTTTCGTCCTATGTCCTCTTACTGCCTCTACCACCTTTGGCTACGCACCTGCTTTAAAAGGAAAATGAAACAATCATGATTGTAATAGCACACAATTAGGCCAGTAGAAATGAACGGGGAAAAAAGAAAGATCAATTACACCAACCATGGATAAATCACGCCCGGGAGCGTCAGATCATAGTTTTGTGTTATCGGGCGAAGGCCGGGGAGTAGCGGCCAAGCGAAATTTTGCAATGTTGAATTATGCATTCTAGAAAATCCCTAAGCCCAATATGTACGTTCTGTCCGTTATATTTCTTTCGAGCTATATTTCTAAATTTCCTGGGGGACGTATCCCCCTATGGGGCAAGGATTGCCGCCCTTGTCCATGATTACTACGAACATGAGTTCAAATACAAGAACAAGCGAGTCAGTATGAGCTGAATTTAAATGAAGGGCAAAATAAGAGTTGTAAAGTGGCCCTACCGTTAATTTCAAATTATATGAGTATATAGCTTCTATTTAAAAGACATCCAAAATATGGTGCCCTTTTCAAACTGTTCACTAAAGAGTGATGACCTTTGTAGCGCAGGGGCTGTTTTTAACGTTTAACTTTGAATCCGCGACTCGAGATTTTATGCGGCCGGCCCGGCCCCCTCTATTCACGAACGTTTGTCAAGCCTTCTGGAATGACTCCAAATCTCCGGATTACAGTTTTCCCTTATTCGTCGTTACTGTCACTTAGCGCCATTTCCTTTTCTTTCCCCCTTTCTCACCCGACTTTTCTCTTCCCCCATTGTTGTGTATAACGGGCCGGACTTTGTTGAGTGGGAGGGAAGGGGGGGGGGGGCGTTCTTCGTGTTATTTTCTACTTGTTTTTTTTTTCTCTCTCTCTCTGTTTCTTTTCTCTTCTTTCTTTTCTTTTCTCTTCTCCTTTTTTTCATCTCTTCTCCTTTTTTTCTTCTCTTCTCCTTTCTTTTTTTTCCCTCTTCTTTTCTTCCTCTTTTTCCTTTTTTTTTGCGCCGCCAATAGGGGGGGGGGGGGGGAGACCGCGGCCGTTTCGGCCCCCCTGGATCCGCCACTGGTCATAATGACGTCATCTTGCTACATCGCAGCGTAAATCAGAAAGTAAAACAGAAAGAGAAAGTGATAGAATGATAAAAACAAAGAATAACATAAGAGAAGATGATGGAAGGAAGAAACAAAAGGATAAAATAAGGAAAAACAGAAAGAGAAAGTGATAGAATGATTAAAAAAAAAGAATAACATAAGAGAAGGTGAAAGAAGGAAAAAACAAATATTAACTTAAAAGAAGATGATGGAAGGAAAAAACAAAGGATAAAATAAGGAAAGACGGAAAGAGAAAGTGATAGAATGTTTTTTTTTTTTTTTTAAGAATAACATAAGAGACGGTGAAAAAGGAAAAAACAAAGAATAACATTAGAAAAGACAGAAAGAGAAAGTGATAGAAAGATAAAAACAAAGAATAACATTAAAGAGAAGATGTTGGAAGGAAGAAAAAAAGGATAACATAAGGAAAGACAGAAAGAGAAAGAGATAGAATGATAAAAAAGGGAGAAAGTTATAGCGCACGCACGAAATTATTCACTAACATTGTCACTATTGGTGCCCATGGCACTGTTAGTGAGTTGTTAAAACGTTACCACTACTGTTAGCTTATGTGCGGCCTTGAAATGTTAGGCTATCGGTGCTGTTAGTGAATTCGACTTACATTACGCTTCTGTGCGGCCGAAACAGCGCTATCGGTACTGTTAGTGCGCTGTTTGCGTTAACAACGTTTCTGTGCGGCCCCTACAGGGGATTTCGATTTATTAAAGGGGAATTCCACCCTGATATTAGGTTGGTTTTAAATTAATAGAAGCAGAAAATGTAGAGGAACAGGTCAGTAAAAGTTATTAAACATTCCGATTCAAAAAAGGAAAGTTGACTTTTTGAAGTTTCGATCAGTCAAACACGAATTGGCAACTATGTGACGTTTATTGCGAGCTCCCCTCCCATTTGCTCTGGCCTCTGTACTAAAAAAAAACAAAAAAAACCGAAATTTCGAGTTTCCCAGAATTTTTCTCTCAATCATTCATGCACCTGAAATAGGATAATTGCAAATATGTTTCTATACAACCCCTGTATGGACAAATATCTATTCCGTCATCTGAAACGAAGAAAATGAAAGCTATAATGAAATGTATGTACAGAGCATAGCTTTCTTTTTACTCGGAATTTGCTCAAACTTACCTGACCTGTTCGTCTCAGTGTTTTTCTTCTATCCAAACCAAATTAATATCAGGTTGGACTTCCTATTTGATTACGAAAAATAAATTTTCCTTCTCAAATTTTCCTCAAACTTTCTGTTCGTGTTGAAAGTGAGTTATTCTCATTGTTGGTCTGGAATCGTCATTGAATAATCGTTTTGTTTACTTTAAGGAAGAGAATTGTATTTTTAATTTGCATATGTTTATTTTTATTTCATTTTAGGGGTAGTGAGCAAATTTGTTTCGGGGGGATCGAACATTTGAAAATCGCACCTACCCCCCCCCCCCCCCTCTTTAGCGCCGGGGGGGGGGGGGGCATCTCTCTCTCTAAAAAAAAGGTAAAATTAACGTGTTTTTCCCCCTTTTTTCCCAGCCCCCCCCCCCCCCCCGGCCCCCTGCTAGGTTTTACCGAGAGAGTTTTTTTGCTAAATCTTTTCTTCTTCTTTTATTCACGAGGCCGCCATCCATTTCCAGTTTAACCACTCACGACGGCGGTCGCCTGCGTTCTGAAAAGTATATTCAGATATACGTTATACTTGTTTGTATTCTTTGTATTATTGTTATTGTATAATATTATTAGACATGATTTGCTATGTATGTAATAGTTATGTAAGAATGTATAACCTTTTATTTGTTATTTGAACGCAGAAATAAAATCAATCAAACAAAGAAACAAACAAACAATGCAAGAGAGTGACATCTAGATCTAATTCTAATGGGCAACATCACAATGGAGATGAATAACATCACAATGCCACACACGATTGCTAATGCTATTCTATCCCCACTCGTAATACTGCATCTATTTCAAAGTATGAGAACTCCTTCCTTAAAGGGGCACGTTCCCGCCATTGTAGTTATCGCTGCTCTAGTCATCGCCATCTTGGTTCCGAAGATCGACTTCTAATTTGCATACAGCTGTCAATCAAAGTACGCGCGGCCTGGCCTGCCTTCGTCAAGCCAGCTGATCGCTGACCGCTCCTGACGTCACAAAAGTGGGCGGAAAAGGCAGCCGAATCTTAGAACCGAACTGCGATTGATATTACTTCGGCACTTGTATGCGATAATCGGCATTGTGCGGGCATTCGGAACATGACATCTGCGTAAGAGCCGTATTCTGTTGGTGTCAATAGGCAGCTAGCACCGTCCGCCAGCGGGTACGTATTTTAAACGCCCTCTGGAATACGGGGAACATGCCACTTTAAAGGATATTATGCGCGTGGAAGACTAGGCCTGTTGTTTGCTTGTTTTCTTGGCTTCGAAGCGATAGAAACCAACAAAACAAGTAAATATAAATGAATTAGAAAGAAAACAGAGCAATAAGTTTGGCAACAACAAAAAATGTAACACTATATGATGTGCATTTATTTAATCAGATTTCTAAACATAGTATAATGTATTTGATTTAATTTGGTCATATTATATTGTTTAACGAGAAACTTATGATAATAATAATACTCTCTATTTATAGGCCAAATTTATATCTGGGCCAAATTGCAACCGTAACCTATAACTTTGACGAATTAAAACCAGGAACAATTGTCCCTAGAAAAATGATATTTGTGATTATTATTCTGTTTTGCAACACAATGGTTCTGCAAGATTGGCTTCTTGACGACACTTTTAACACTGGTTTAGTATTAAAAAAATACATATCAAATATTTGAAATATAAAAATCGACTCTGGTAAGGCATATCATACAATAATCAAATATATGTACACTAAAATATCAAATGTTATCGTTAATAAATGAGACAATACAGCTTGGAAAAATTATGCATGTACATCGATTTTCCGAATAGATACATTTACAAATGTTAAACATACTTCTTGAAGAAAAGCTCCTAAGTGGAAATATTGCCACAGACTTGAACGACATAGCAAGAGCAAATGTTTGCAAAGTGATTTCTATCGAGATGCTACTTTGCTTTGCAGGTGAATCGAATAGTTGGTAACTAAGGGTTCGGGAGAGATACATGCATAACAAATATGTCTAATTGCCTATGTCTATGGTCTAATTTCCATTTGGCCTTATCTCCGATATAAAGTCTACTACCCATCTAGTTTATCCATTTTTGGTCCAATTCCCAATTTGTGTATAAATGCCTATTTCGTTTACCATCCATAATGTCTAACAATCATTAGAGGGGGTTATTATTTATGATTAAATGATTATTAAAACATTTGGATAGAAGCGAAAAAATATATTAGACAAACTAACAATTAGACCCAGTTAGACCAAATGGAAATTAGACAAAATGAAAAGTAGACGAAATGATTAATGAAACATGTGGATAGCAGACTGGCTGGGTGTAAACCATATTGGAATAGACCAATCGGGTTGCAGATGAACTATTTGTAGACCAAAACGGCTATAAATTTCCAACTGAAATACATTAAGAAACATATTGGTGAGATCTGTTTTCGAATGCAATGAAAACTATTCGTTATTAAACTCTTTATTATGTTTTAATAGAATCTCCTTAGATTACAATATTAGAAAGAGATCAAAGTATTTATGTGCCTTGTTCATTGCTCTCGTGACGAAAGCCCACTGTTGAAATTCACTGCTTGTCATATTAGTCTACTGAAGCATTCAAGTGGTTAAAGTGACTCGGTAACATTGTTGAAGGGTGATTAAAAAATTGCGTGATTTGGGTATGAAATGTTACTTATTATCTTTCTTCTACTGTGCTTGCCCTCACTGGTCAACACCCTCTAACCGTGATTTCTCCAAACTATTTTTGAATTTTTCCAACGGTTTGTCCTTGAAAATAAGACAAAAAACAGGGTTTTAAAACTCTTTCAACAATTAAATGTCTGGAATGGTATATATAGCCAACTCATTGCTTTATGACGATTAAGATTCCCCTAAAATGTAATTAAATTGTAATGTATACTTGGGAGAATTAAGGTATCGATCAGATCAGTTTTGCCCAATTGTTATCGTTAATAATGGTTCGTTTTCACTCAAACTTTCAGATTATATTAAATTGTACGTCTAGCATGGAAGTCACTACCTTAGCACCATTTTATCTCATCTTGACAATGTTACCAAGTCCCTTTAGTGAAGACGATTTATGCATGCATATTGCCTCAAATTTGAATTCGGTTGCCGAGATTGAGAGGCTCGCCATCTATAGGAGCCGGTGGTCAGTTTTAAGTAGATGAATAGTCCTTTGAAGGGACAGTTGATGACGTTAAAACATCTCTCTAAGATGTGGAGAATTCACTTTCACAAAATCCTCCTGTTTCTGTTGAAAGTCAATGACAAGAAAAGTATTTTTTTTTAAACCACAATCAAATAAACATTAATATAATAAGAATGTTAGTTGTTTTAATTTTGAACGAATGAAATCACTAGATTCAATACTGATAGGCCTATATTTATATTTTTGGCTTTGATTGGTCAAAGTTAACATATCCACTGTAATAAATCTTCAGACAATTTAGAGCTCTTGTTTTTTTTAAAGCCTTTCTGCACTAGATTGGCCGGGTTGGGGTACTCCCTGCGTGATCACAGGCAGGGCGGTATCTCATCGAATCATCTCAATTAACATAAGAAAAAGGATCAACGGGTATCACTTACTGACTTAGGCATTGTGGGATATATAGAGGGAGCAAGAAGCTACGAGTAGTGCCGTCCGGCCTTACACAAAAAAATCACTGGATTTGATATTCATAAGGATTTACACATATTTATTGGCTTATATTGGTCAAAGATAAACATTCAAATTAAAAAAATTCAAGAAATATAAACTTTAATAATTTAAAGAAATGTCGACACCTTTTTTTTCGCAATGTAATTTATTCAATGAATTATCAATTATTGGTTATTAATTTCTTTATTCTTATTAAGATAGTAGACTTTCTGAAACGATTGTTTGATGAGCAAAGTATAGATGGGCTTCATTTAATGACAGGTCTGCTAAAAGATTTATGTCCTCTTTTTCTGTTACTGTCTTGCGTAAATATATTGTTTAATGACTCACGTTCTGCTTGCAAGGCTCAGCCTCCCACACTTTCCATTTTCTTGCTCGAACAAGGATCAGATCTCCAGTAGTTGCCTCCCTCGCGATGAAATTGCGATAGTCGTAATCACAAACCTCTGCGTCGTAGGTACTTTTCGTGCACTTTTTTACTCTGATTGTTATAGGCCTGTTGTTAGAAACTGTAAATTTCATGGATTGTCCTATTTCAATGAAGGACTCACTTTTGCCTTTCACATGCTCCACGGTAACAAAGATGGCTTGCGGCGAGCCGTTTGCTACGATGATATACCGGTCCATGAAACGCCTGATGAGGCCTGCCGTTGAACCGACAGCGGCGACTGCCGCTGCCGTAACCCCTCCAGCTATTAAGAGTGCCATTCTGGAGGTGGAAAATCCTTTTGAACCGATAAATGCAAGCTATACTATATCGACAATCTATGGTTCAATATTCAGATAGCAGCTCAGATAACCACGATAACTTGGACAGTGAAAGTAGATGTACTCTTGCCCCACTCATCAGCTCGAAGTTTAATGTGCTATTATATTACAACTTTATTCACTGGCGTATCGTTGTTCTAATTACTGCAAGGGGGTGGGGGCTATTGGGGGGGGGGGGGAGTGGCGTCGACACGGAGGTCACCTTCCTTACTTGATAGATGTCCAAAGCATCCAAATGAAGGGGGTGGGGGGAAAGGGGTGATAGGCCTATCATATTATTTCACATTGTTTTTTCCTTTTCCACTCTCCTTGTTTTTCCTTTTCTCGTCGTTTAGTAGGGCATGTGCCCCATGCATCCCGTCATATATTTACGAACGAGCGCCGCTGACTTCCTATGTCGACTTCCTTATACTTCATTTAAGCTCTTTCGCAATTACTCTACTCGTTATTCTAAGCCAGAACTGTATTGCGCAATTAAAAAAAAACCCGGGGGAACTTCGCCGATCTTGTATTTTTTTTCCATTAGAGGGGATCGGAAGTCCAACCGGATATGCAGTTGCTTTTAATAGAAGCAGTAAATAAGAGGAACAGATAGGTGAAATTTATGAACAAATTCCGATTCAAAATAGGAAAGTTGACTTTTTAAAGTTGAGATCAGTCAAACACAAATTGGCAACTCTGTGACGCACAATGCGAGCACTTCTCCCATTTTCTCTGGCCTCTCCCCCCCCCCCCCCAAAAAAAGATTTGATTTTCCCTCACAAATTTTGTTCGATCATACATGCACGCGAAATGTAACAACTGCCAATATGTTTCTGTATAACCACTGTCAGGAAAAATTGTATTCTGTCATCTAAAACGAAGTAAATTTAAGCTAATTAAATGTTATGTCCAGAGCATTATAGCCTATAGCTTTCTTATACTCAATATGAATTCACTCAAACTTACACTGACATGCTCGTCTCATTTTTTTTCTTTTTTGTCATTAAGGTGGACTTCCCATTTACTAAACAACAAGCATATTTTTCTCCTCAAGTTTTCCTTGAAATTTATTTTTTAAATTGTATTTGTTCAACACCAAAAGAAAGAAATTGAGATTCAAGGGTCATTTAACTCAACAGAAAGACAATGCTACCAGGCGGACTGGCCAATCTATCAAATGTATAAGTAGAGGTGTTATAAATGTACAAGTACATACACAGCTGAAAAAAAATCATCAAAGAACAAACAACAAATATCCAATAGCATACAAGAATCGTGATTTTATAAAAAGAGAGAATATTATCATAAAATTATTATAATACAAACAAATATATATTTAGTTTCTTTTAATGAAACTTGTTTCTTAGACTATATCATTATGATGTCGTCTTTTTAATATTACGAATTCAAAATACTTCCCAGTATCATCCTGTTTAGAGGTGTTAAATTTAATTTAAGTGACACTGCTTAACTTAATCAGATAAAAAGGCCCTCAATTGAATGAAATCTTCAATTCTAGGATATCCTAAACAAAAAGGAGGAAAATAAAAAGAGAAAATTTATTCCCAGCTTTGAAAGTTACAAATCATTTGCATAGGATGAGGGTCAAAATATATTTTTCACGAAAAAAACACATTTTATGCATGTATACACCGTAAGGCACGACATCAAAATGCAAAGGAGTGATGTCACTGTTCCCAGGTCCCAAAATTAAGGTGTGACATCACAATGCAAGCGAGTGACATCACGATAGAAAAGAAAAACATCACAATGCACACGATTGATTATGCTAATTTATTCCCACTCTTGTTACTAGAACTATTTGAAAACATAGGCGGTGTCACACAAGGCGGTGTCACACAGAGGCCAAAAATCCGGATTTTAGTTATCCGGTTTTTAATTATCCTCTTTTTGGCTGTCTGACATCAATTATCCCTTCGAAAATCCCTTCAAAAATCCCTTCAAAAAACCTCATATGAAGCAAGATAATTTTCTCTTGAAAGGATTTTTCAAGGGTTTTTTGAAGGGATTTTTCTGTCTGAACCAATGTTGAAATAATCCCTTTTAATAAGCATTGTGACATCACATGTTTAAATGCGCGCATTTAAACGTGTGATGTCACAATGCTTATCTACCTAAACGGCGCATACTTTCGATTGAACGTGTAATGTCACATTGCTTATCTACCTAAACGGCGCGTGCGCAATGGCCCATCAAAAATCCGGATTTTAGTTATTCGTATTATTCGTAGCCTGTCTGTCAATAGTCTGTCATCGACGTAAGTGAAAAAACTAGATTTCTAAAATCTGGTTTATTTAAGATGGGTCGGGATTTTTCTGTGTGGCACCGCCTACAGAGGCCAAAAATCAGGATTTTAATTATCCGGATTTTAGTTATCCTTTTAATTGGCTGTCTGTCATCAATTATCCCTTCGAAAATCCCTTTAAAAATCCTCTAACGAAGCAAGATAATTCTCCCTTGAAAGGATTTTTCAAGGGATTTTTTAAGGGATTTTTTTCTGTCTGACACCAACGTTGAATTAATCCCCTTTAAGGTCAGTGTAAGGGTAACGTGATTGGCTGGTATATGGTTTTTAACGCACTATCATAAACTGCGCACAATTATTAGCGCGCATTTAACGGGACGCGTGAATTGCGCGTTACTATTGATTGAACGTGTGATGTCACAATGCTTATCTACTTAAATGGCGCGTGCGCAATGGCCCATCAAAAATCTAGATTTTAGTTATCCGGATTATTCGTAGCCTGTCTGTCACCAGTCTGTCACCGATGTAAATGAAAAAAAAATAGATTTCTAAAATCTGGTTTATTCAAGATGGGTCAGGATCTTTCTGTGTGACACCGCCTTATGAGAACTCCTCCCTCAAAGGATATTATGCGCGTGTAGGACCAGGCCTGGTTGTTTGTTGTTTTCTTTCCTTCAAAGCAAAAAAAAACCAACATAACAAGTAAATCAATAAATGTATTCATTCATTTATATATTTATTTCTGATATTTAGACAGGTTGACTCATTATCACCCTTAATGGTGGGCTTCCATGAGACCCTTTTAAACATAATGGGGTAGATTACAATTTAACAAATAAATACATAAAAATACTATTAATAACAAAATCTTGAACATAAATTCAAAACAGCAATAAACAATAAGTAAGAACATGTATACACAAATATACAACGTATTTAGTAATCTCGTAATAAAAGAATGGTTTGTTTGTTTTGTTTTGCTTTGCTTTTTCGTTCAAGTAAACGTCGTTGCAGAATTATTATATTTCAATTTAGAGTTAAAGACCAGTTTTGGAAACGCCCCCCCCCCCCTCTCAAAAAATGAAATGGAAGCTCTTATTACCAATTATGTAAAAGAATATGTTTTGACTAATACGTGATGATACTTAATTTGCCGGGAAACCGCCTACTAATTGATATATTTCGTATTCTTTCATAAAGATGTTCGTAAGTTACGCACGACTTTACACACGACTGGAACATGTTCTTGGGTGCTAATCAGATTCTCAATCATTTACATGTAGCAAAAAAACTTATCACCAGTCGTGCGTAAAGTCGTGCGTAACTTACGAACAGCTCTATGAAACGCCCCCCTGGATAGATATCGCGCACGTGTCACGTAGTCCCATTTACGTCTTATACCAAGACTGGGCCAAATTTCTTATAATTGTGTTGATTCCAGAACCTTGCAGCACACACCAATATTTATATGCTAGATGATCAACCTTTTCTGATCGATTCCACAACGTTTCTTTCACAATGCAATCGCATGACCAGAACTGGTCTTTACCTTTAACATTTAGCACAGACAGTAATTAGTTTTTAAATCCGATGAAAAGTAACAATTTTTCGGTAAGTATTAACCCTTGAAAAAGGGCAACATAATATACTTTGATAGTTCAATTGTTTAATAAGAAAGAAAACATATGGTCTCATATTATTGACTGATAATCATTTGATTACAAAGAATATCAATGATCTAATAATTATTAGACCTTATGAATGGTAGACGAAATAGGCATTAGATAAACCGGTAATCAGATCAACTGGAAATTAGACCAAATGAGTTATGAACATAATTGGTAGTCGACTTATTGGAGATGAGACCAAATAGAAATTAGACCCAATGAATATCAGCCTATCTGATCATTAGACCTAATGATAATTAGATGAAATCATTATAGGAGCATGCTGATTCTTAGACGGGTTGAGTGTAGACCATATGGGAATAAACCGAATGGGTAGTAGACCAAACACCTATAAACCAATTGAAATACAATATCTAATACATTGGAAGAACATTTGTGAGAACGCTTTTCGAATGCGATCAAAACTACTCTTTATTAAACACTTTATTGGATTTTAGAATTTCTATACATTACAATTATAAGAAAGGGATCAAGGTCTGTATGCGCCACGTACATTGTTCTCGTGACGTAAGCCATCTGTTGAACTCCACTGCTTGTCCAATCAGTTTACTAAAGGAAGACGATTTATGATAATTATTTAAACATTGAAATCCGGTAGCCGAGATGAAAGGCTGGGCGTCTATAGAAGCCGGTTGTCAATTGTAGGAAGATGTATACTATGTATACATTGAAATATATCCCTAAGATGCGAAGAATTCACTCATATGAAATCCTTTCGTTTCTGTTTTAAAAAAGACAATCACAAGAAAGTAAGAAAAACAAAAACACATAAACAAAGTTTTTGAAAAATTTGAAAATTGGATGAATAGTGATTCTTTACAATTTTGATATATTTAGATGCCCCTGTGGATGTATTATAAGCACTAGAAAATTTAGTCCCTAAAACACTTCTGCTTTCGAAAAAAAATTGAATATACAAATTTACCGATGCTCCCGGTAAATTTTGACCTTGAGAGGGAGCTATACAACAAAGAGATTATTAATAACAATTTCATAATTTTATACTCGATTTTAACCGCGACAACGATCACCGAATATTTTAGGATCGCATATGCCTTCAATATGTTAATTTGAACCAAATTTATGACCCAA